CTTTACCGGCGCGCATGCCCGCCATCTTACTCTCGGCCTCTTGTGCCATGATCTCGGCGGCCTCGCGACGCTTCTCGCTCTCCTCTAACTTCGACTCGAGCTCTTCGCGCTCCCGCTGGCTCGTGACAATTTCATCCTTGACCTTTCGGAGCACAGTCTCCATATCCCGGCCGCGCTTTTCCCAGTTATCTCTCTCCTCGGTCAAGGACTCTTTGACAACCCGTATCTCGCGGAGCTCCTCCATACACTCGCCCACTCGCTTCTCGGCATCGCCTACTGCTGTCTTCAGGGACGAGACCTCAGCCTCCTTGCCGCTAAGGGAAGCTTTGAGGCCACTAATCTCGGAGAGAAAGCCTGACTTGAGAGATTCAAGCTCCCTTGGGGTTATGGTGGGGATGCTGCGGGGCGTAGGGAGCGGGGGTATATCGAAGTCGAGCAAGTTGGATTGTCGACGTTGAGGAGTTGCAGCAACGGGATTTCGTAGGGGTCTGCCAGATGGTTGGTTTCGGCTGGGTGTTTGCTGAACATACCCAGAAGAAAATCCATTGATCTGCTCCGTAAAATCCACAAGTAAATTGGTCGTGTTGCCAGATTCACCCACGACGGGGGGTCTAGGGGTTCTTAAAGGTGATAAATCCCGCCGACTTCGTACGGCGGTGGGGGTGGCAGCCACATTAGCAAACTTTGTAGGGCTATGTCCGATTCTTGCGAACATGGTCATGTTTGGTACCGCGGAAAAGTTGCTAAAGGTGCTAACCATGGTGTCGTCCGGACCTGCGGACTCATCTTCGAGCTGCTGGTCATCTATGGACATAGCCGTGACATCGGCCTCATCGTCTTCGCCGGTTTCCAAAATGGTGTCTTCATCTTCGAAAATCTTAATAGCATTTGCTAAGCCTTCATTTTGGCGTAGTGCCTCTTCAATCGAGATCTCTTGTTCCTTCTGTACAGGAGGTGTCTGGAGTGTCTGGATTGTCTGGGTTGTCTGGGCTGTCTGAACCTCAAGAGTGGGAGATGGGCTACTGTTGATTTTGACTGGGAAACGTTTCTCTGGCGATATTTTTCGTGGACTCTTAATGGGTGAAATCTTCTTTTGAGAAGGACGAGACTCGGTGTCAATTGAATCATCCTTAGTGATTAGAATCTTAAGAGGTGTGAGTTCGGTACCAGATAATATTCTGGAGTGACGCGATTTGGAGGGTGAAACATTCTCCTGATTAAGACCGGTATTGTCTTTATTGTCTTTATTATCCTCCGTCGGAGTGTTCAATTCGGTGATTGCCGCATCACCCTCACCATCACTGGTGACGCGCTCGGTAGTCATTGTGGTCGTGTGCGATTGGAATTCGTATTTGACTTCGTATTTATCTAGGTGACGACTCGTTGGAGTTGCTGTTGCTGTAAGATTAAGCGTCGCGTTACTAGAGGGGGTGAGTGGTTGAGCCATTAAATGTTTGAAAGAAGTGTCCTAACAGATAATGGTCGTCAAATGAATTAATTGACCATGCAAAAGACAAGGCAATGGCCAGTGCAGTTCAAATATGCGCCGCCTAGGTGGTTGAAATGCAGGTGAAATGCAGGTATGGTATTGGTTGTGATGTGAATCAAAAATCGAGAATTGAGAAATTGAATTCCGAGTTGTGCTTAATTTGTTCCTCTTCCGTTGACGGAGCAACACCGGTACACAACGACGTAATCCCTGTCATACGAGTTCCTTATCTTAGGGCTTAGCGTATCTTTAGTATCGTCTTTCAAAGCACCTGATTCGCTATTTGTTTCAGGTCCTATTATCTATGTGGCTTGCAATTTGTGGCTTGTGGCTTGTGCGTACAGTGCATCGTACATAGGTATGTAGGTAGATATCCAAGTACATACCGGTGTAGATGTCTTCATCGATCCCCTTCCCACAATCACATACAATATCAAACTATTAGAGATATATTTTCTAAATTTGGAATATTATCATTTATGCATGTAATACTTAGCCAGACCATTTCGATTGAGGCCCACAATACTCACCTGCCTGGCTATGTAGTTATCATTAATAGATACCTATGTTCAAGCAGCAAAATATTATCTGGACCCCCATCATTTCATATATAGGATACAATCAAGTCCGGACCATAGAGTTATTCCGCAGATAGTGGGTAGGAGATATAGGTAGTAAGTGGGCTTGTGACAATTACTCAGAGTTGCTGCCAACTTAGCTGGGCAAATAATGCCCTTAAATGCCCCTATAGAGACTCAGCTTAACGACGCTCAAACCTTTATAGAGTCCTATCATGTCGTATTTGGGATTTAGTGGAAGCAATAAATGTCTTCGTAGGCAGCTGACCCGTTCAAATGCGGTGCGTCCAATCATTATCCGTCTCTAAACGCCGAAAGCAGCGTGGCCTCCAAGGCAGAATGGTCAACTTTGATGCGACCGAAAACCAAGTGTGTTGGTTGTTTAAATCGACATGATACCTATTCACCCCTGTCCGGGTGGTCGATCAGCACCCCGTATCAATAGGCCTCCTATTTTCCCTGGTGTTCGAAAGTAGGTATGCGTTAGAGTGATCGCATACCTAAAACTTCAACAGGTTATATCTAGCTATCAAGTAACCTTCATTTTAATCGTTTTCGAAATCGAGCGCATAGTATATTATCTTATTCAACAAGCCTACTATATATCATAGTCAAATGTATGCAGCAAGGTAGTACTCACGACACCTCGATACCATCTCATATCTGACCTCGCACTAATCCCCTGAGTCATATTAGGGTGGTATATACTCAGCTGTTGGTGTGGTTGAGGTAATGTGGTCAGGGATAGCACAGCCTATTACGACTCCTTGGCCTGTTCCCCCTTGTCCGCCGATTCCATTACAAAACCCCATACGATAGGCCATGACCTTACACCCAAATATATAGAACTTGACTTGCACCTTGTCTGTGGCCTGGACTGGTCTTGGTGACTTGGAAATAACTACCTCGCTTTACCCATACCTTGGAATCGCGCCTCTAAATACATCAACGGGTAACAGATGTCTTCGACGTCAGACTCTGGGTGGCCAGATACTTCTATTGCTATTCGACATTTACTTGATATCCAACATGGAGATACGCTCAAGTGTCATAATCGGCTCTCTAACAAATCTATGTGTCGCAACCCGCTCAGCAAAGCTACTGTTATAAAGATAACAGAACTCACTCAATCCATTGCCTCCAATAAGTCTATCGACCACCACGTTTTAGAGCTTTTAAAGGAACTCGCAAGCGCGGTGATGTGTAAGAGATGGCACCAAGATGAGGCTAGTTCGAAAGCCCAGTTGTGGGAAAAGAAGCTAGACTCCCTCGCGAGAAGCCCTCAGAGTGATCAATCACGAACAGCTTCTCACAAATCCCAAGTCCCACATACCCCAACTACCGATGAAGCTGCCTCGGAAACACGGAAGCCATCTGGCTCGATACATCGTGAACCTACATGTCACCGCTTCGAGTATTATTGCAGAGATAAATGGTTCTTTGAAACTAACTCCGAAGTTAAACACCAACTTATAAAACCTCTAAGTGCCATTGAGCAGGGCCAGGGGTTCCTATATTCATTTAGACTACCAGAGTCTCACAGTGTTAATGGATCTTCTAGTCGGGAACATGTTAAAATTGGCTGTTCGAACAATGTCGACAGGCGCCTCACTGATATTAGCAGGATTTGCCATTATCAACCTCAAATGATTGGTGCTTGGGAGATGCCTAACCCTCGTCGATACGAGAGAATCATACATTTACTTCTCAACAACACGAGAATGAGTGAGCCGTCGGGTTGTCCTGGTTGTCACGTACGTCATAAAGAATGGTTCAAGTTTAAGAAACGAGATCTCCACGACCTCATCCGACCTTGGCAGCAATGGGCAACGCTCAAGCCATACAATAAGGATGGGTGTTTGCTACCTGTGTGGAAGAAACGACTTGATAATCTCGATCTTGGTAGTCCTACTTGCTGGGTTTCCTTCTTAAGAGATACATGGTAATTTTTTACTCCCTGGGTTAAAGACGGAAATTTTCTTTTCCTCCTTATCGTTTCATTATTAACATACTTTAGGATGGATTCGTCTTGGATGACATTCTTTAATCACCCAGGACATACACTGTATAATCAATTTTCGTAAGGTTTTAATACTGGCATATTTATCGTATTGTATAATGAGTAAATGTTTTTCCGCGCGTCTATATAAAAGCCTTTCCCATTATCAGAGTCAAGTTTACACCTTATGTTTGTTATAGCAACTTATTGGCACTTGCAAAAGCCGATTCTTAGTTAGCTGAGATTGTTATTCTATGTAATTCCTAGATTTAGTAGGCCGAATCAGAAAAATCACATATAAAAACTTAACCATATATTAGTACAACATATTATATGAAATCGCCGTCCCAAACGGGGTAGAAAACAATACGGATTGTATAACTACCTACCTAGGTAGATACCTATTTCAAAAATTCGGGATTATTCAGATTTTAAGAGAAAAAGGTATAGCCTTGGAAACAATTACCATAAGTTAACGCCATTGGCCGTAGTATTGGAAATAATAAACAACTACGTGCATAGTCTTAGTTCGGTTTTTTTTGTCGGGCATCATCGGCTATACTAACTATGGCGAGGAGAATATAAGAAAATATAGGTCCGAAAAAACATATGAGAATACCCTTAAGTAAGTAGGTAAACATGTAGTCACCTTCGCACGAGTAGTACTAACTAAGGATTCGCTTGAAGACTCAAAGTGAAAGCCAATAACATTGAACATATTAACCTAGATAATGATTATCGGGATTTGTTTAATTTGATTAAGGAGTAGGATACATGAAAGCTATTGAGGGTTGCGCACATTATATAAGATGTTATTTCTAGATCCCAAAAAACTAGTATTCAAAACTTTTGTGGGCATTCATACTAACGTAAGTAGGTACACAATATAAATCATTTTAAAATCTTGCATCTTCACGGTCTTCCAAGTAAAACTGGCACTGTGGCAGAGCGGTCTAATGCGTATGGTGGGTCAAATTTCCATCTCTCTCTTTATGAAAGATCATAGTTGCTAATCCATATTATAGACTCGAACATTGCGTTTAATTATATCTCTTCGGAGGCGCCCGTTCGAATCGGGCCAGTGTCGCACTAATCAATTTTTTTGTAACCTTTTTAACTTTGTCCTCAAGTGTCTAGCAATCAGATAAGTATAAAGATGCATGATTTTAACTGACATATAATATCAAGGTGTTACCGTTAATACTGAAAACATCCTTCAAAACACGTTTTAAAGACTTTGTTCATAAAGTTCGATTTCTTTAATTATTTGATATTTTTAACACGCCTATCCAAAACTACGTAAATATCGAAGATTATAGAATATATCTTACCTGTTTCTAAAATTAATCACATCGTTAATGAATTCTCTCATGTGTACAATACACGAGGTAGTTGGGCAAAATCACACAATTGTCGTTCATTTTCTATGTCTCGTGATATAATTTATAATTGCACCACTTATCGTGCTATGGTCACAAGTAACCTCGTTCCACGCAACCTGAAGGGTTTCAAAGGCCGCGTAGGTCTTGGAGTGCCGGAAGAAGTACACCCTCAATTTTATTAGGGATGTCTGATAACTGCCGTAGTAGTCTCGCGAGATCCCTGATATATATAGAAATCATTTAGGACAATAAGATATACCGTTTAGATTCATCGCAAAAACGCCCTGAAGCTAGGATCACCTAGTTATCCTACATAACCGACCGATATTATAATTATCGTCGCGGTGACCCTGTACTTAATCATCGCCTCTTCCGTGCAATCTAAGAAGCCATGAGTCATGTCTCGAGGTTTCAGCCAACGAGACATCCCGAAACAAAGCAGAATCTGGGGAAATAATAGACTCCCGATGCCGACCCGTCTTAGTATCTCCTAGATGTCCTCGTATCGCGTGATATGGCAGTCATGTTTACGGATAACATGACATTATCCGGATCTCACAAATAGCTGAGAAGATGAAAGACAGCGTCTAGGAATTTGCGCTAGAATGAGGTCAGGTCGTCAGGATTAGAGGCATGGAGAGAAGATGGTTCCTAATGACTATGGAGGATAACAGCCCCATGGATTGTCTATCATTGATGGTTTATATGACGAGACTATTATATACCCCGTCGCGTGAACTGAAATATATCTACATCTAAACAACTATGTAATATACTGTTAGCCAGCAAAACATATTACAACCAAGATGAGTGGTTATTCCTTGGGCTAGGTAAGTGAACTTGTTCGGTTTCATCCGCTCATTACCTAATCACTGAGTTGCGCCATTTTATCAATGAGGCGTTGTTTCTCGCATCGCATAGACTTACTAACGTAGCTGGGATCATCCGAAGAGCACTCATCCGTCGCTGTAAGGTACATTTGATCCATTAAAACGTACCTGTAGGTAGGTATTTGCATCACTGATATCTCGGAGTGTTATGTTACACTGTACGATGATTCGAAGCGATGTATGCGCTGTTTGATAGCATTGGTCAGATGCACCCTGGCGGTGAGCGCGAATTACGCTGATGGCTTATTTGGCATTCGACAATTAACTAATCAGGTTGACCGAAATGTGCATCCTCCTGCTCGAAGCCGTCTTGGCTGGGCGGGTTTACTTTTTGTCTACGATTTTAGAGGTTGGCCTTTGGCGGTTGTGCTGCTCTATGTTCAACTTAGGTAGCCGGTAGCTGAAGAAACCGTTGTGATATTATTATACGTGTAGTGACAGAAGCAGCTGAGATGTTGTTGAGAAATAGAAATCGCCCAACAGAAATGTTTATAATAATCATTACTTATCTGGGTACAGTTCAATATTGCTAGGGTAAATCTTCATATGCATTTATTACATTCGCTACTTACCTGTATATATGCATAATCGATACTGCTTAAAAACATTTAAAGACCTAGGTAAGGATTAATATGTAAGGAGTTGGAGTTAGCGATGAATGAAGCTGATGGCTTGCAGGCGGTATATTAATTAAGCGTCGATACCGGTAACTCCTAGTGTCACCTTAGTTGGGCGAGGTGTATCATCCACTCAATGCTTACATGTGGGCGTAAAAGGACGCTGATTTGGATGAGACAATTGATGCTTGTCCCTGTGTATGCTACATCTGCCTCATCTTCGTTTAACTACATGGGCATATATATACGTAGGTAGGTATCTACCTATATGTTTATCTGATATGTACCTCTAGTGGTAGAAATGGACTCGAATATACATGTATGCAGGTATGTTGGTTTACGATAAGACTGCACATGTGGACCAGACCCTGACCCTGGCGACATAATTGGGTACCTCTTAATCTGCGTAAGGTCGGACAGGCAGGCAGGCGCTACCTCAACGTACGTAGGGTACTGTACAAGCCCCTCAATGCCCCGCGCAAGGACTGCCAATTCTTGGCTGGAGCTTGAGGTGCTTCAGCAAAAATCATGAGTGGGGTTAATCCGTAACTTCTAACTTTTCTAAAAATGTTCAGACTTTAGAAATACCTCACGTAGGATTTCTTTTTTTATACTTTTCCCTCTAAATTCGCCCTTTCTTTTCCTCCTCCCTTTTTCTCTCTTCTCTTCTCTTCTCTACATCAACACAGTTTCATTCCCTCTATCGGCTCTCTCTTGATAGCCGTCTAAGCCCCTCCTCCTTCGTTACCTCGACATCCCTACCTCGAGTAATACCTACATAATGTCTGCGAACTCTCTCGACCACCTCGCCTTAGGTGGCCGTGTTGAATGGCTCGCAAGTCTTAACACCTCTGCCGCGCCCAGCAAGAATGCTCATAGACGAACCTCCATCATCTGTACCATCGGCCCCAAGACCAACTCGGTCGAGAAGATTAACGCCTTGTCAGTCTTATCACAAACTAGCAAAACCTGTTAGAAGCTAACGCAACATATAGGAGAGACCAAGGTCTCAACATCGTGCGCATGGTGAGGACCCTAGAATCTTACAGTTTGCCTCCTAAAGATGCTAATTATATATAGAACTTCAGCCATGGCAGCTACGAGTATCACCAATCCGTCATCGACAACACTCGCGCCGCCGAGAAAGCCCAGAGTGGCCGCCAAGTTGCCATCGCCCTTGACACCAAAGGCCCTGAGATACGTACAGGTGACACCGAACGCGGTGAAGATATCCCCATCAAGGCCGGACATGTCCTAAACATTACCACCGACGATAAATATAAGACCTCGTGCAATGCAGAGCATATGTATGGAATAACCTTGTCAAGGCTGTCATCCCCCCTTAAATTAACATTTTTCGCAGGTACGTCGACTATGCGAACATCACCAAAGTCATCGAGAAGGGAAAGGTAATATATGTCGACGACGGCGTGCTTGCCTTCGACGTGCTCGATATCAAGGATGATAAGACGGTCGAAGTCCGTTGTCGCAACAATGGATTTATCTCCTCTCGCAAGGGTGTCAACCTCCCCGACACCGATGTAGACCTTCCCGCTTTATCGGATAAGGACAAGAAGGATCTTAGATTCGGCGTCCAGAACAATGTGGACATGGTCTTTGCGAGCTTCATTCGACGAGGTGAAGATATCCGTGCTATCCGTGAGGTTCTAGGAGAAGATGGCAAACACATCCAGATCATTGCGAAGGTTAGTATCAAATTATGATATTCCTAGACTCTCGGGTATGTAATTGCTAACTCGTTGCTCATAGATCGAGAACCGACAAGGGTATGTTCCCATTCAAAACCGTTATTCTTCGTGCAACTATACTTAGCCTCGAAGTCTTCCAGACTAGATGTCCGGCCTAGAAAATGCTAATGAAATTTTTACAGACTGAATAACTTCGACGAGATCCTTAAAGAAACCGACGGTGTGATGGTAGCTCGAGGAGATCTAGGAATCGAGATCCCAGCCTACGAAGTATTTGCCGCACAGAAGAAATTGATTGCCAAGTGCAACATCGCTGGAAAACCTGTGATTTGCGCAACTCAAATGTTGGAGAGCATGATCACCAACCCTCGCCCAACCAGAGCAGAAATCAGCGATGTTGGCAACGCCGTGACCGATGGAGCCGACTGCGTCATGCTCAGTGGTGAGACCGCCAAGGGATCATACCCAGAGCTGGCGGTCCGCGAGATGAGCAACACATGTCTCGCTGCAGAGAATTCCATCCCTTACGTCAGCCACTACGAGGAGATGGTCTCGCTAACAAAGCGTCCTACGAATGTTGTTGAGGCATGTGCTATGGCCGCAGTGCGAGCGTCATTGGACTTGAACGCAGGTGCCATCATTGTCCTATCGACATCCGGAGACTCGGCCAGATTCCTATCCAAGTATCGGCCAGTTTGCCCAATTTTCATGGTTACTCGTAACCCATCAGCCTCGCGTTACGCCCACTTGTACCGTGGCGTCTATCCCTTCCTGTTCAACGAGACAAAGCCTAACTACGACAAAGTCAACTGGCAGGAGGATGTGGACCGCCGCATCAAGTGGGCTGTCGAAAGGGCATTGGGATTGGGCCTGCTTGGAAAGAGTGATACCATTGTCGTTGTCCAGGGCTGGAGAGGTGGCATGGGCAATACAAACACGCAGCGAATCGTGAAGGCTGACCCGGAACACCTTGGACTAGGAATGATGCACTAGAGACGGGCTAGTCCTGACAATCTTCATACGTCTGTCTGTGCTGTTGGTTTTTAAAATCGCAACAGAATGGTATAATTTGTCACCGGTACACAGGTAGATTGCTAATAGGTTATACGACTACAATTCTTCCGCATTTTACCAACTTCTTATTTGTGTTGTCACATTATGATATCGTAAAGATTACATTTCCATCTGCAAAAATGATTGAATTAGAAAACTTGACGCTACCTTAACAAAGGGGCGCGTTATTGATATTAATACCCTTAGTAAAGTTACCGATCACATATTGAAGCATATAATTAGTCTTGATTATTGCTAGCAATATATATAAACCGCTTCGATATTTCATAAGGTTTGTTAAATGTTTATATTAACGGTTTGGGCGCATTTTTTTGAGGCTTCATTAAAACAAGTACTTGCAGTTTTCAACTCGATTGACTCCATGCTCATAAAGCTCTAAGAATGACAATATGACAAATATTATATCAATGTTGGAATGCACAAGCTCTTCTTATTCATTTTTTTTAATCATAACCCAATTTGGATCACATACTCATCGAAACACATTGGACCTCACGGACAAGTATTCGTTTCAATAATATAGTAAATAAAGAAAAGCTTCATGAGCGTTATGTTAACGAAAGTTTTGTCTCGTTCCCGTTGAAACATTTACAGCAAATTTTAATATTTCTACCATATCCAAGGTGTTTCAATTGAGAAGCAGCAATACGGGGTATAATTATTAGGAGTAGAAATAAACTTAATGGAAAATTTACAAGCATTACAAATGCGATGGTAACGAAAAGAGTTAATAGAACTTAACTTTTAACCTTACAACACAAGTGAATGGCGATATTAGAAATTACATGGGAATCAAAAGTCGGGACAACGCAAAAAAAAGAAACGACACCTGTGTGATTCGAACACACGCCCCCGAAGGGAATGCCTTAACTATTTTGATGATATCCATGAATAGCAGGGCATCGCGTTAACCACTCCGCCAAAGTGCCTGGTATCCACACATAATTGTCATGATTGGGACAATAGGACAATAGGCCAATAGACCAACACAAGTCAAACCACAATTATAAAAACGCGAGGCCACCCGTTCGGGTGGCACAATATCCCGAGTTTAGCCGGAGGTCGATGGTTCGATTCCTCGATCTTTTACTTTTGTTTTTTTTCTCATCCGACGAAACCATTTATTACCACGGTTCGCGCATTTATTTAATTATTTTTTAAGTTTTTTTTTAACCATTTATGTTGCTACCCGTTTAACCGACCGTTTAATTATTTATAATTATTTCGTAAATTATTTTTATTAAATTTTTAAAACATTTATTAAGCTTTTAATTTAATTATTTTTTAATTATTCGTTTAACCCACGATTTAATTATTCGTTTATTTAATTATTTTCGTTATATTATTTTTAATAAATTTTTTATTTATTTCGTTTATTTATTCGTTTTATTATTCGTTTAATTATTCGTTAAACTTTCGTTTAATTATTTATAATTATTTATAAAAAAATTTAAATATTTTTAAATATTTTTAAAAATTATTTAATTATTTAATATAAAAGTTTTTTTTACGTATATTAAATTAATTAATTAAATATATTATTTCGAAAAATTTTAATTTAATTTTTTTAATAAAATTTAATTAATTAAAAATTTTAATCGTAAATTTAATTAAATATATCGGTTTAAAAATTTTATTTTTAATTTTTAAATTAATTATTTTTTAAATTTATTAATTTAATAAAGTTAAATAATTACGCATTAAATACGTAAAAAGTAAATAAAATTTAAAATGTTATTTTATTAATATATATGAAAAGAATTTAAATTAAATAAAAAACGTGGGAAAAATTAATTTAATATTAATTTAATTTTACATAACCATATAATAAAAATAAATTTTACCGGATACGGTTATATAATTAATATTTTAATATTAATAACTTTTTTTTTAACTTTTATTATATAATTATATATACCTTTAAATTATATAATTTATAAAGGTTAATATTAAATATAATTTAATATATTTTTTTTTTTAATTTAACCTTATTTAAATACCGTTTATTTTTTATTATTAACGAACGTATTATAAGAAAATTTTTATAAATATAATTAAAATAATCATTAATATGTTTTTTAAATAAATAATAAACGTTTTTTTAAAATAAATATATTTTTATTAACATTATTATTATAATATTATTAATTAACATTTTAATACCATATATAATTTTTATTATTATAAAATAACGGGTAAATATAATTTATGAACTTTTATTAATTTATAATTAACTTTTATAAATATTTTAATTAAATATAATCGATATATTTATATATATAAAAATTATATTTTAATGCCATTATAATATATGTAAATTATTAATATAATAATTAATATTTTATTCGCAAATCTTAGTTTTTATTTATATATAATTAAAAACACATAACGCGAATTTTTAAAAAAATTATAACATATAAAAATAAATAAAAATATAAATAAAAAACATATTATATAATAACGCCGTGAATATATAAAAAAATAAAATAAACGTTTAATTAATATAATAAAAAACGTTTATATTAAATTAAAGAAAAACCGTAATTAAACTTCGTTTTTTTCGTAAAATAATAAAAAAATTCATTATTAAATTCTTCGAAATATATATTAAATTATATTAAACATTTAATACTTTTAATTATTTTTTTTTTAAAAAAGCGATTAAATCGCGTTATTAATTTCATAATAAGTTAATAATTAATATTTTAAATTCATTATTATTTATTAATAAAAATACGTAAATATAATTATAATAACATAAAAAAGTAATATATTAAGCATATTAAAATTTCAAATATTTTTTTTTAATTAATATTATAATTTAATATATATAAATTGTTTTATTTTTAATCTTTTTTAATTTAACTTTATAATTTTAATATAAAATAATTAATATTAATAAACATTTTTAATACTTTATTAACATTAAATTTTATTATTACATTTATTAAATTATTTTTTTTATATATTTATTTAATATCACATATTTTTCATCGTTTATATAATTACCGTAATAATATAATGTTAATTATTAACTTTTTTTCTTTAATTATATTAAATTTAATTAAACATTTATATAAAAATAATAAATCCATATATATAATAATTAATATTTCGATAAAATTAAATTTCTTAAAAATAAATATAATTATTATATTAATCGTTATAATTATATTTACATTATAAATTATAATATAAATTTCACTTATTAATATATTTTTAATTATTCGTTTACATTTAATTAAACTTTAATAAATTATATTATTAATTATAATAAATAATTTATTATAAATTATTTCATTTATAATAAATATTTCATAATTAATTTATAAATTTAAATCCTTATTATTCACAAATAAACCATTAATAAACATAAAAATCTTAATAATTTATAAATTTAATTTAATAAAATATAATCCTTTTTAAATATTTTTTCATTATTATTATAACTTTTTATTAAATTTTATAATTTTAACTTTTTTAAATTTTTAATATTAAGTTATTTTTAATATATTAAATATAACCTTTAATTAATAAATAAAAGCGATATATACATTATAAACCTTTTATTAAACGTATTATTATGTAATATTTTTAATTTTAATTTTAATAAAATTAATTTTTTTATTTTGTTTTTTTTAACGTAAATATATTTTACCATCATTTTTTAAAAATAAGATATAACCGTTAAACATTAAATAATTTTTTTTATAAAAAATATTTTAAGTTTTATAAAAAACTTCGCTTTTATTAATTCATTATTTTCCATTTAATTAAAAACATCGTCGGATACACTTAATATATCATTAATTTACATTTTAATAAACTTAAAATATCTTATAAACTTTAATATTAATAAACATAAATTATACGTAAATGTAATTATATTTAATTTTTCTCGATAATGCTTATAATACATTACTCATTAATGCGTACCGGCTTTTAAAACTTTATATATAAGTTTAATTATAATTATAATTATACCTTTTAAATATTTATAAATTAATTCTTTTAATAATTTAATAAAAATTCGTTAATTTAAAGTTATTCCAAATTATATATAAATTTAAATTACATTTTATATTTAAATAAACATTTTTTTTCCCATTAATAATAATATTAACGTAATAATTATCCGTTAATTTAATCGTTATATTATTAATAATTAAATTAAAATTATTTTTTTACTTTTATTATTATATTTTTAAATAATAAATCTAAACTTTTCATATGGGTTTTCCATTACTTTACCTTTAATTTTTTTCATAATACATAAATTAAACATACATACATTATTATATTTCGCATTATAATATCTTTTAAATGTAAATACGTTTTTTTTAATAAAACTTTTAATTTTTTAAGCATTTAAAGTTTTAAATAATTATTTTAAAGTAATAATCTTGCTTTTTTTATAAAATTAAAATACAAATTATATATTTAATATTTTTTTTTTAAAAACATGTATAATGTTATCCACCGTATTTTTTAATTTATTTTTATTATTAAAAAATCATTTTCGTCTTTTTTTATTTATTAATGTTTTTTCATTAAATAAATTATCAGGTATATAATTATTTAATTCTTCGTTAAATCTAATATTAAAAACATTATTATTTAAAAAATTCGTCGTTTTATTACGCAAGTATAATTTCATAATAATTATATAAAATTTAATTAATTTATTATTAACTTTAATTATATATATTTCTTCGTTTTAAATAATTAATTTATAAGGTTTTATTCATCCTTTATTTTCTTAATATACTTATACTTTAAATTATAAAAAGAAATTCAAAACATTTAATATATTTAAACCATTTTTTATAATAATTATTTCCGTCATTTACCGCTTCGTTTTTAACTTATAAATTTCATTCATTGTTTTTTTAATTATAATAACATAAATTACCAAAGATAACATGGATGAAAAACTTTTAATTAATCGTAAATACGCTTTAAAAATAAATAATATAAAAACAAAACCATTAAATTTTATAATATCGTTAATAACTTTTATAACCATTTATAAAATAAAAGATACATTTATTTAAGTTCTTTAAAAATCCTTAAATATCACTTTATATACACGCTTTAATAATCCATGATAACATTTTAATTATTTAATTAAATTATATATTTTAATAAAGATTTTTTTAATAAAAATATTTAATTCCTTCGCATTAATAATAAACTCATTTATAATAAAATTTATATTAACATTAAATACCATTTAATTAAATAATCTTAAATATATATTAATTTATATTATTCGTAAAAAATCTTAAATATATTTTATAATTATATTTTTTAAAAACTTCGTTATTTAAAATAATATCGTTTTATTAATAATATAAAATATTAACTTGCCGTTAATATACATAATATTAATAAAAACATTATAATTAAAATTAATATTATTTTTTATTATAAATTTAAATCTTTTAAATGTAACGTTATATAATTAACATTAATAATAATATTTATTAATTTTTTTTATAATATTTTAATTTAAATCGTTATAATTTACTTTTATAAAAATATAATAAAATTAATTTATTATAAAATAATTAAATCGTTTATAAATTTATTATAATTCAATTTCCGTAAAATAATAATAAATTATAATAAAATTTTAATTATTTAATAAAAATCATAAATGATTTTATTTGCAAATAATAAAATAACGTTATCCACCCCCTCACCGCTCATACCACCTCACCGCTCACTTTTTAAAAATCTTAAACCTTAAATATTAAAAAGCTTATAACTTCACGAACGTTTAATATATTATTTTTATATTTTAAACTTAAGTTCATTAAAGCAATTTAAAATGGAATATAAAATATGGAAAATATTACGTAAGGAATGAATTTAAAATTAAAGTTTTTAAAAAAAAGTTTAAAATTTTAATACGTAAAGTTTAAAA